AGAAACTTGAACTCAGGTGTGATAAACCACAGTTTTAACAGGGGGGCAAACACTTCTTCACACAGGGCCATGTAGTTTTGGATTTTGTTTTCCCTTAATAATAAAAACCTTCATTTAAAAACTGCATGTTGTGTTTACTTGTGTTATCTTTGACTAATATTTAAATTAGTTTGATGATCTGAAACATTAAAGTGTGACAAACATGCAAAAAAATAAGAAATCAGGAAGGGGGCCAACACTTTTTCACACCACTGTACATGTATGTATGTTTGTGTATTTATATATATACACAGTACACATACATATTATGTAAACACATTTTATTTTGGATGCGATTAATCGATTTGACAGCACTATTTATTATATAATTTTAGAATATTAATAATAATAAGTATTATTATATATCAATATTGATATGTAATTACAGAATTTAGGCAAAATACAAGCAAGCACAGGAAACGTGATTTTATTTTAAATCACTTTTTTACTAAAATCTTATTTTAAATTGCAAAAGCAAATTTTATCAGAAAAGTTTTTTTTATTATATGTTCCATTTTAATTAAATTTTTTTAAATAATTGTGTTTTTTGTCATTTTTATTTATTTATTTATGTATTTATTTTGTGTGTGTGTGCATGTATTAATTTTTATTTCAATTTTAATACATCACGTTAAACAAAAAATTTAGGATTGTTGCCTTGGCAACTAACTGAAATAAAATAAGTATAAATAAATTTATACCTATTAAAAAATATATAAAAAATACATTTTTAAAAATGTTTTATTTTATTTCAAGGAAAGGATTTATTTTATTTTTAGTTTTAATTATTATTATCAGAAATTATTTCAGTAATAATTAATAATAAATTCAATCGTTATTTCATAATTGTCCATTTTTATCAGAAAAATTGCACTGATTTTTCCCCCTGAATCGTGCCGCTCTAGTCTGGATTCTGGGCTCATTGTTGATGTTGTTTGTGTGCAGGAGAGAGAGATGAGCATCGCTCTGCTGAAGGATCAGCTGCACAGGGTGAGTCTCCACACGCTCTGATGGGATGCTTGCTTTGACCTTTGACCTTTGACCTGTGCTGGTTTCTCTGCAGGCCTCACAGGAGGGCGACGAGCCCACGGCGGAGCTGCTGCAGGAGCTGCAGGAGGTCAAAGGTGAAGCGGCCGCCACCAAAGAGGAGCTGAGGAGCTCCCGGGAGCGCAGCCTCAAACTGCAGGAGGAGATCGAGGTACTTCCTGTCCACTTCAGCTTAGCTTCCTGTCTGCTTCCTCTAGTGCTTGATGAAGGAAGCACAAGAGCTTCATGGGATTGTTATGGAGTTGCCTAATATGTTACATACAAGTATGAAAGTAAATGATCAAATGAGTAACCTTAATCTCATATTTTAGTTCTACAAGTGTGTTTTTGAATTTTGTGAACTTTTTGAAAATTACAGTTTGACAATTAAAGAACTTTCTGTATTTTAAAATAATTTATTTTAATTTTACATTTTAATGATTTTATCAATTTTAGCATTTCATTTTGCGTTTTCATTTCGAAGTCCTTTATTTATTTTAATCCTACATTCTTATTTTATTAATTTTTACTAAGTGTTTTTTTTTTTAACATAATTTAAATTGTACATTCTTATGATTTCAATATTTTTTTAGTGTTTTATTTTTATTATTATTTTTTTGTATTATTTATTCATTTTAATTGGCTTTTTATGATTTCATTAATTTTAGCATGCAAAACTTAAATACATTTACTTATTTTAATTTTAAATTTTTATTATTTTATACATTTTTATTTAGTGTTTTCTTTCAATATGTTATTATTTAATTTAGTATGTTTTGATCTTTTTTATTTTAAAATTGTTTGTTTTAATTTAAATTTGTATGATTTAATTCATTTTAGTATGTTATCGTTTTTATTTTAAAATTGTTTGTTTTAATTTAAATCTTTATGATTTAATTCATTTTAGCACGTTTTGTTTTGATGGTTTTAATTTTTAAATGTTTCATTCATATTAATTTTGCATTCGAAATAGCCGGCCGTGTTGATGTTGTTGGATATTCTCATGAAACATTTGGCACAGATGCTGGTCTATTTTCCTGCATTTATTGGCACACACAGCAGACAGAAATCAAGTGTGTTATGTCTGCTGGTGTTGTTATAGCTGTGGTGTCTCTCTCAGGTCAGAGACGCGTGCATCGCTGAGCTGAAGGACAAAGTTCAGGAGCTCCAGACCGCTTTGGCCAAATCCAGCGAGGAGCCGCTACAACAAGAGAAAAAGAAAGGAGGCAGCATAGAGCATCATGGGATGGACAAAAGCAGGAGCTCCTCGTCCTGTGTGGACGTGTGTGTGCAGACGCATCCGTCCGGAGCCCAGGAGCTGCAGGAGGTGATGCTGGGATACGAGGAGAAGATCGCACAGATGCAGGAGCTGCACGCGGCTGAGATCCTGGACATGGAGGCCAGACACATCTCTGAGAGCGAGAGCCTGAAGCGAGACAGCCAGCAGCTGGAGGACGAGTGCAGAGCGCTCCGAGACAAGCTCAGGACCGCGCAGGTCACATCAACTACTACATTTGTGTTTTTATTTTTAGATTATTTCATTATTGTAATTTTACATTTTAAACATTTAATGAATTTGTATTTTATATATGTGACCCTGGAGCACTGAAATTGAGATTTATGCATCAGCTGAAAGCTGAATAAATAAGCTTTCCATTGATGTATGGTTTGTTAGGATCGGACAATATTTGAAAATCTGGAATCTGAGGGTGCAAAAAAATCTAAATATTGAGAAAATCATCTTTAAAGTTGTTCAAATGAAGTTCTTAGCAATGCATATTACTAATCAAAAATTAAGTTTTGATATATTTACGGTAGGAAATTTACAAAATATCTTCAAGGAACATGATCTTTACTTAATATCCTAATGATTTTTGGCATAAAAGAAAAATCTATAATTTTGACCCATACAATGTATTGTTGGCTATTGCTGCAAATATACCCCAGCGACTTAAGACTGCTTTTGTGCTGCAGGGACACATATATATATATATATTTTATTTAATTTATCCATTCACTATAGGGAAATACAAACATTATCAATGTATCACATTTAAATAATCACACAAAAAAATATATTATTAAATACATTAAAGTATTGAATCACTTGAAACAAAAGGAATATATTTGATACATTTGACACGGATGAGTTATTTTATATTATTTTTTTATTTATAATTTAAATTAGTTGTTCATTTTTATATTTTTATTTATATTTAACTTTGAATTAAATTTCTTTTTTTTGTTATTTTAATGTGTATATATAGTTTTTATTAATTTTTTATTTTAGTTATAGTTATTTTAGTTCATCAAGTTAAACTGCATGAAAATGAGAAATGTTCCCTTGACTGTAGTTTTTATAAATAATTTGAATTCATTTTTCATTTTTATATTGTTAATTTTTAGTTTTTGTCTTTTTTTATTATTATTATTTAATATATCTATATAGTTTTTATTAATTTTTACTTCGGTTTTAGTTATTTTAGTACATCAAGTTAAAGTAAATGGGAATGAGAAATGTTGCTTGGCAACTATCTGAAATAAAATAATTTATTTTATTTCAGTTAATGTTTAGTTTATTTCAACTTATTTCTGAAGTTGAGGATCTTATTACATCTTGATCAACATTTATGAAAGTAGTTATTTGGTTTTTAAATAAGATGCACTAATGAATAATTCATAATAAAACCAGAGACATTGATTAAGAAAAGAGTCAATTCTCCTTTAAATTAAAATGAATGTGACTAAATGTATTGTGGATGGTTTGTAATATCAGATGGCGATTTTTCTTCGTCAGGCTCCGTCAGTGAGGTCTGAACACTCAGCCGTCCCTCCGTTTAAAGACGGATACGCCAGTGGTGAGAGATTTATTATTACTACAACTATTGATATTCATTTTATGTTCTGGGTTATAAACACTAGTGTTTCAAAATTTAGGGTCAGTAAAAATTTTTAATATTTTTTGCTCTTCTGTTCATTTATTTGATGACAAATAAAGTAAATATTGTGAAATATTATTGCAATTTAAAACAGCTGTTCTCTATGTGAATATCTGTTAAACTGTAATTTATTTCTGTGATGCGCAGCTGTATTTTCAGCATCATTACTCCAGTCTTCAGTGTCACATGATCTTCAGAAATCAGTATAATATGCTGATCTGCTGCTCAAGAAACATTTCTGATTATTATCAATGTTGAAAACAGTCGTGCTGCACAATATTTCTGTGGAAACTGTGATACATTTTATTTTTCAGGATTCACAGATGAATAGAAAGTTCAAAAGAACAGCATTTATTTGAAATAGAAATCTTTTGTAACTTTATACTGACACTTTTGATCAATTTAATGCATCCTTGATGAATAAAAGTATTAATTTCTCATGGTGTGTCTGTGCGTGCGCGTGCGCGTGCGTGTGTGTGTGTGTGTGTGTGTGTGTGTGTGTGTGTGTGTGTGTGTGTGTGTGTGTGCGAGACAGCAGTTCAGACTGGAGTCAGCGCGTGGGTTTCGATCTTCCTCACCTGCAGCAGGAGTCCCGCAGCACACCTGAAGGAGCGCACAGAGATGTGGATCCGGACGTGCTGCCAGACAGGGTCAAGGTGAGTTTTGCGGAGAATATCTGACTGTATAATGAACACACTGAGCGAATGAGGAGCTGATGGAGGTGTTCACACAGAGCCTGCTGCGTGAGGTGCATCAGGAGGGCATGCAGGTGCTGTCGCTGTCTGAGCTGCCGCTGTCTGAAGCGGATCCACCTCCTCAGAGCTGGAGCAAAGAGAGAGACGCCCTCATCAACACCGTCGAGTCCCTCAAGCTGCTCATCAGCACACTGCAGAGCGGCATCGACACACAGGTGAACACACACACACAGGTGAACACACACACACACACACGCATGTGAGCACACACACACACGCAGGTGAACACACACACACACACACACAGATGAACAC